GCCTTGCCACAAAGTGAGCAGTAATGAAGATCCACATCTAGTGAGCTTGAGGACTGCTGTAGTGATTCTGGGAGTGAAGAGTTTTGTAAATTGTAAGCCCCAGCACGAAGAAATACAAAATGCTGCTTGACTTGTGCAGACATCTTCTTGCCTATAAAATCGGTATTGAAATACGTTTTCAATCATCTAGTATACAACCCTGTGCCTTTATATTACATCAGAACAAAACACTATAAAATCACAACATTCATGCTCGGACTAATTAAAATGGTTGGGCTTTTCGTTCAAATTAAGAAAATTTAAAAATCGGCGTTGCTAGATGTTACATTTAAGTTAAGTACTTATGAAAATTATGAAAACTTTTTGATGATTTTTAGCAAAATCTGGGTCTAATAATAAAGTCTTATATTAATTGATTAAGATACGCCCAGTGTGCAATTGATGGAAAATTTTAACAAGAAAACTAATGGCGCTTATGAAACTGTAAAGTAATAAACTTAATGATAAATGAAAAAATATGTGAAATTAAATAACATTTATTGGCTTCAATGTTATAAAATTCTGATAGACAGCATTTATAATAATCGCGAAGTTGGATCCAGCCAGTTATAGAGTGACCAAGACATGAGTTCATCGAAGGGCAAAACACTGTAACAATAGAAAAAGAAACTTATTAATTAAAATATTTTTTTTTATCATTATATTGAGGTTATTTGGGATAAAAATTAATTTTAATAATTCAAGCAGTATTTACTTGGGATTTAAGTAAATTAATGAATGAACATATTCAATGAAATAAAAACAATTTGAAGAAAAAATATGAATATGGTAATGAACAATTATACTTACATTGAGGTTGAATCCAGATGAGAGTGCCAGGCAGCCGTTATTCTAGATAGCACCTTTAGCCAAGAGAGAAGTCCACATCATCCAGCAGTAGTTGGTCCATTAGCGCCATCATCGAAATTAAAGTCCCTCAACTCCTGTATAAGTATCTCCTGTGGCAGCATTAGTTTCTTGTCCATGCAAGGTGGTCCGGGGGCCTTCTTCATTCCACATCGCAGAGTCAAGATCCAAAAGTCCATGTCCATCCAGATGTAGTGGATATAGAAAGGATTAATGGATAGGAGAAAGGAATGCTTTTTTCCAGGAATATAGGAATATGCGCGCATTATTGGAGATGGTAGAGTAGTAGTAGATTGAATCAATCAATCCACGCAGTCGTCGTGAACGCACAGTATTAAAAACGACAAAAAAAAAAAATTGCTGCGCAGCAACCGTATTATTTTCGTTTAAAAAGCAGATAAACGCGATTATTATTAAAGCGACTGTACATGCTGTTTACAGCTGTTGTAAGAGATGTTTTATGTTATAGCAAATCGTTTAATAAAACCGCAACATTTTTATTTACACGATTGCAATTGTTCTATTATTCGCATGCGCAATGTTGATTAACATTTTTCACTGAATACATATCATACATATGTCAGAGCTATGCACTTATCACACACCCTGAAAAAAACATCGCGTACGTACACACATATATGTAATATGTAAAATTATATATATTTTATAAGAAAAAAAAAATGATCTATACAACGATACCATGTATAGATTTTATACACTCACCTGTGAAAACTTACCAAAGGTGAATTTATTTTGTTCTTCATTTCACAATACCTTACCGGGAATCACTACCGAAATGCACTAATACTGAATTACGTAATTCAATATTCAAAAGAATTGAAAAATATAAATAATGATTACCTTACCGAATAATATGCATAATAAAATTAAGTACAAGAAAAAAAAATAATTACCTTACCGAGTAATAAAAATAATTACCTTACCAAGTAACATGATAGAAATGATACCACAATATAATCATGATAGAAATCATTACCTTACCGAATGTAATCATAGAAATCATTACCTTACCGAACAGGATCATAGAAATCATTACCTTACCGAACAGGATCATAGAAATCATTACCTTACCGAACAGAATCAAAGAAATCATTACTTTACCGAACAGGATCATAGAAATCATTACCTTACCGAACAGGATCATAGAAATCATTACCTTACCGAACAGGACCATAGAAATCATTACCTTACCGAACAGGATCATAGAAATCATTACCTTACCGAACAGGATCAAGAAATCATTACCTTACCGAACAGGATCATAGAAATCATTACCTTACCGAACAGGATCATAGAAATCATTACCTTACCGAACAGGATCATAGAAATCATTACCTTACCGAACAGGATCATAGAAATGATTACCTTACCGAACAGGATCATAGAAATGATTACCTTACCGAACAGGATCATAGATATCATTACCTTACCAAATACAATCACAGAAAATATCTTACCAAGCAAACAAAAAGATTACCTTACCGAATAGCATAGATAGATTAATTAGATTAGTTTAAATTACCTTACCAAATAAAAAATTTGGCTTAGCAAAGAAATTATCTCACCAAGCATAAGGTAACAAAACATCACCTTATCAAGATAATATATAACAAATTATTACCTTACCGAAGACATTGTTACCTTACCATATAAAAAATGCTGCAATGAATGATCAATTTTTAAGGTATCGCTGGAAAGAAAAGTTATACTCACAATGTTTGCCAAAATGAGGCTGCCCAACTCCGACATCAATAGGTAGTGGCACATCACATCTTTGAAATTACCTTACCGTTAAAATACATTCTGTTATTACCTTAACAGAATATACTTCAAACAATTATTACCTTACCATCAAAAAAATATTACCTTACCGACAAAAAATTATATTAACTTACCAGGAGAATGTTATTTAGTTACCTTACCGTGAAAAAATATTTAGTTACCTTACCGTGAAAAAATATTTAGTTACCTTACCGTGAAAAAACATTTAGTTACCTTACCGTGAAAAAACATTTAGTTACCTTACCGTGAAAAAATATTTAGTTACCTTACCGTGAAAAAATATTTAGTTACCTTACCAGCAGGAAAATATTTTTTTTACCTTACCTTTAGCCAAAACATACATACCAAAAAAATCTTGATATAATTCTTGAAAACTGCTGCATTTGCAAATCTTACCATATAGATTTGAAAATACCTTACCAAAAAATAAAGTTACCTTACCGCATGTGTAAATAAATAAATTACCTTACCCATATGTGTAAAAAAAAAATATTACCTTACCCATATGTGTAAAAAAAAAATATTACCTTACCCATATGTGTAAAAAAATATTACCTTACCCATATGTGGAGAATACCTTACCAAAATATACCTACTCTGTCAATTTTCTCTTGACATATTCAGAAGCAACTTGTCATCTTGATTTCTTGATGCACTTTTAAATTCACTGATTAAAAAAAAGCGACCGGAGGTCTATCAAAACTACCTTCTATGTATACCAATGCAATTAAAACATCAGATTCCATATCATTAGATAGGTTTGATAAGCCCAAAACGAAACGCGAAAAAAATAAATGATAAAATATCAAATGAAGCACACATGCGCCGATAATAAGTGTGAAAAATAGTTTGTACAAATGATAGAAATGCCAACAACCCAGTTTTATAGATACATGTATATAGATAACAAATAAGACAAAAACAATATGAAACCAAAAGATCTATAATTTGGAAAAAACGACCTTGTAATTTCACATTGTTGAAATCTTTGTTCCCAAAAAATATATTTTGGTAACATAGATGATGACATGAAACATTGTGAAGACTTGATAAACTGTATTCGAATAAATTTTAGATTTTTTTTTCAATTCAAGTATAACTTGAATAAGAATAAAGTTAATTCATGAAGTTAAAACGAGTGTTGCGTGTTGCAGCAAATCATGAGCAAAATAATAAAAAGCAACTAAAAAATCAAAGCAAATGTCAGTCTCTGATATATATAAAAAAAATCAATTAAACGCAAGATATTTAAACGTATTGTTATAAAAGCTCAAACGCGGATCATTGCGTTTAATCGAATCCCTCTCCCCCTCCTACCTTGTAATCCATCGTTGAGCACAAAATGCGCCTTACTTTCAAAAGAATTGAAAAAATTATCAATTATCAGAGACTGTATTTAAAAAAAATTAAAATAAAAAAATAACGTTTGCATGCACTATACAGTTAAAAGATTTTTATCGAGTTTGACAAATAATAAAATTCTGTAATAAAATCCGTACTTGTAAAATATTTGCATTAAAAAATTGTTAATGTTTGAATTGCTGAATATAATTAACTAATTGAACACCATCGCGAGAATATAAATAAACATGCATTACTTTCACGAAAAGTTACAAAACATCTATCTATCCAGCGTTGGTAGATCTTCGACGAAAGCGATTCATGGAGGAGAAGGTTGTGTAATGATGAATTAATCACAGCAAATAAACTACAATAAATGTAAGTGATAGATATATGCAAGAATATTAATTTTATCATAGCTTAGAAGATTCAAAACAAAATCATGCATATATCCATCGCAAATGTGTAAGCATGAGTGTGATCAGAGACCGGCTTTACTTTGATCGCGAAATTTATCAGGTTCAACACAATGTTGATAGTCGAGAACTTTAATAGTTAAGAAGTACTGAACAGAAAAAAATATCAATCTACTAGGGCCATTTTTGTATTTAAGTTATACTAAATTAAAATTAAAATCAAAATTGTGTATCTTTTCCATATGGCCTGTGAAGTTTGATATTTGTATTTGAAAATATGTTTTTTATACTGCATTTAAATAAAAATATTTTATTTCAATTTCATTGAGACTAAACTTTCAAAGTTATGTTTTGATCAATATTATTTTAACTACAATTTCATTAATCTATATTTGACTATATTTTTAAAGTTATGCTTTGATCAATATTATCTGAAATATATATTCTAAAAATATTATGACTTGTAATTGTAATTCAGCATTTCTTCACTAGATGAAGGACTCGACCCAAAATAACTGAAACCCAAAATCTTACCTTGTGAGTCACGATGTCCTGCCGCTGCGTCCTGTGCTGCCATGAAAACTTCATCTTGCGTCCTATCACCGCCCATGTTATGCCATCCAGCAAAACCTGAAGAAAAAGAGCAAATATTGTATTGTATATTGTATGCAAACAAAAAATAAAATGTGATCAATGTCGACATACCTTGGCTGGATCCTTCACCACCATGACTAGGTCCGGCTTGTGATTGGTCCATATCATCCATTTCTTCGTCTTCAAGTGTTAGGTCTTCAACAGAGTCATTGCCTTCTTCGTCAACATATTCAGATTTGGGTTCAAGTATTAGTTCACTATGTTGTTCTGATTTTCGGATTTCTTTGATTTTAGGAACGTTTATTTTTTCAGAGGTTTTGGCAATGGCGGGAGACTGGAATGTATCAGAAGAGTTTTCAGTCCGGTCCGTTACGTTGGGTCGGTTGATTGAAGTTTGGGCAGAGAGGTGAGAAACAAATTCTGAGTGGGTACTTGAATTACTAAGTTCATGATTATCTGTAACATAACAAAAAACGTTAGTAACAATATAAATGTTATAATTCAATAATAACTATAAATAGTAATAATTACCAGGTAACACGGCAGACTCATCATTACTATGCCTTCTACTCCTCCTTCGTTTCCTAGAGGTTGGGCTAGAGGAGGTTTCCCTATCGGCAGGTGAGTTTTGATCCGCTATGTCGTCATCAGGCGGGGGAGGTTTGACTATTGGTTTACTAATAGTAGGACCAGAAGACTGCAAATAAAATCATATGTAAGTTATAAAATGTCAATATAAGAAATCAGATAGCGTTGCGGAAGAAATAAATTACCTTAGTTGAACTAGGAAGAGGTGGACTAGGTACACGTTCAGGCTGTTTCTTTTCATTTGTCCTACTATCTGAGAGGCCTTTAATTTGCAGCGTCTCCGCGGCTTTTAAAAGTGCTCCTAATTGATCTTGACTAATATTCACTTGGCCCCGATACATATAATCTATCATTGCCCTAAGTTCCTGATACTTAACATCCTTCAATATAAAAATAGGATGCTTGTCGTATTGAAGCCTTAACAGGGATTCAAAATATGGGCTACAGGCAGATAAAACTACTTTGTGCGCCCTCAGGTACTTTCCCTCAGCCGCTAATGTACAATCCACTAACGTTTCATTTTCTAATAAAGTGTCGAACTGAGATATCAGTGTCGACTGATGGTTGTTCCACTTTAAACAAAATTGTTGGTCATCCTCCATCTCGCGCACTGAAAAAAAGAAATAAAAATTTAATTATACATAATGAAAACCAATTAGTAAATGTTGCAACATAAGATAAGTGTTGGCCAACGGCGTACAAAATGGCCGACCACAACAAAACGCCTAATGCAAATAGACTAAGTGTACGTGTAAAAATTAAAACATCAAAATTAATTCAATCATTTAACTATAAAAATATAAAACGAAAGTAGATTTCCGATATGCTTTAATTAAAAACAGGCTTGGCATAGTTTCTGAAAATGAAGCCATAATGGCCGCCGACCGCTCCATGTCGACCGAACAATTTCATCATATCTAATATATACAGTGAAGGAATAAAATGATAAATAATGTTACTTACAATTTCTATTAAGTACTATCACAGTCTTTTTAAAACACTTTAAATTAAATACGAAAGAAACACTAATTATTTTCACATTTTACTTGAGGACTACTCCTCCGTGTTAAACAGTCGAGCTAAAATGGAGTGAATGTGATCGGCCAACACGGCTTGGGCTGTGACCGGAAACGCAAAGCATTCGGGGAAAATATAGCTTGTCCTTGTCTCACTCATAGCAAAAGTAGCGTAGGACAAGGATCGGAAACTACGGCGCGCGCATCCAACTTGTTGCTAAGAACAAGCTAGGAATTGATGCTATCTCCTTCTAGCACTCGCGACGAAAAACACAAGGCATTTTGGGTAATAATGGATTATTGATTATAAGACATTAAAAAAATAATAAAAGAATATGTCATTAAACAATATGAAAAATTTAAAAATAGATAAATCGTTTGTAGTTAACTAATTGAGCGAAGCTAGATACGAAAACATGCGACTACCGAATAAATGCGTATATAGCGCATAAGAAGCCGACTTCTAACAAATTACAATAAAATAACTTTAAAACAACAATGCGGACGCCATATATTATTGATGGCTATAGAACTATGATATGGAACCGTATATATAATGCAAAATAACACGATCATGTTTTTCGAATTAGGTCATGACGCCTTAAATACAGATAATACGCACTATATTCAAATAAACTAATATTATTTCATGTTACTCACCTCTTTCGTCACAGTCTTCATAAAATATCACAATAGAATTATAAACTAGTTAATAATAAACTAAAATATTTTTCACTAGCGTGTGCACGCTCCGCGCTTATGTTTATCGTCGTTGTTTCTGAAGCCAGCTCGGATAGCTTCAACGAGCCAAACCGAAGCGGCGCAGTAGACGAGTTTTGGTTTGTGCGCAGCTTGCAACTACGCAGTAGGGGAAATTACGGTCATAGTACAGTCGAAATAAAAGCAAAATAAATGAAAAATCTCCCGTATATTATTATGCCGTACTGTAAAAACAAATTTTAATATTAGTTAATAAAAGTTTATTGCAAGTTTATGGTAGCAATGGTTTTTCGCAGCCATTAACCTATCTATTATAATTTATTATCTCAATATTATTATTAAAGAAAATAAATAGTATAGTTGATTCTTGCATACCAAAAAATTGTCATTTAGCTTCTGGTAATTTGCGAATTCATGGGGGTTGGGTGGAACACATTATGTGTTTGATTATTTATGTCAATTCAATCAATTATTTATGTGTCTTATTAATTATATTATGTGTCTTATTAATGCATTTTACCTAAAGTTTTGTTCAAAAGACATTCTGAAAAATAAAAAAATAAAACGATTTATTTGTGATTCATAAGGATGCTTTGCTAGAGTATGCACCCTCTCTCAGCTTATTGATTGATTTGCAGTTGATATAAGATTTTTGATAATTATTGATTTAAGAAAAAATGTTTAATTTTTTTTTCTTGGTACTTAGTACTATATACAATGTCTGTAATTATTTTTTTAAATAGTTACCATATGAAAAACTATTATCTTTAGTATTATTTAAAGAAGGAAATGCACTATCTCAGCTTATTCAACGATTTGCAGTTGATAAAAGATTTTCATTAATATTTATTTATGAAAAACTATTTAAATCTTTGTTTTTTGTAATTTAGATTTCAAAACATTATTGAACATTGTTTGCACAATAGGAAATAATTTGAAATAATTCCTATCTAAAATATTTTTATTTTTTAGCATTGTTTAAGAATCAACGCCATGCTTGCGTTGATTGCAATAACTGATTAATAAAAAAATAAATTGAAGTAATAAATTCGATAGATTTTATAACTTGAAGCAATAAAGTGTCAAAATTAATATGACATAATATATAGTTGATTTATTTCATATAATATTTTTGATTTTGAAATGTGTACTATAAAATCTTTAGGACATCAAGCAAAAACTTGTAGAAGTTCATGAAATCTTTATTAAACAGCCACACGTTTCGACATATTATCTGATGTCATCTTCAGTGGAATTTAAAATTGGTTGCTTCCAAATACTCTAATTTTTCACAAAAATCTAAAATATATTTATAATTTCAAATCTTGTCATTTAAATTAAGAATTAATTTTAATTTTTGTCCTGAAGATTTTGTCACTCCTATATTGATGTTTGTAATACATAATTCTTTATATCAAGGTGTGTGTGTGTGAAAATGAAGTGATCTATTGCTTGGATGAGTCTCATAATAATGTAATTATTTATTTTATTTATTTATTTTAAATATATAGCCCACAGATTTCTTCCAAGGGGACTCAAAAATACATTTATTTTACATAATGAATAACAATTGAAATATATACAAAATTACAATATATAGTTATTAACATAAAATACTTAACATAAAATTACATATAATGCAGAATGTAACAATATTATTTATAAACAGAATAAGATAAAATAATGAGTTATTTGAAAAGAAAATAAAAAGGTTAACTTGTGCAGATGAAGATTATTTGACTAGGTGAAGTGTTGTGAATATCTATTTCATTATTAATTAAGTTAAAGTTAGAGGACATAAGTAGAATAGGCAAATTTAAGAGAAAATTAGATTTAGGAGTAGGGTAATTGAAAAATAATAATAACATAATCATAAATATAATATAATTATGTTATATTTTTATATAGATAAAATATATTTATGTTATATTATCTTAAATAACATGTAAACTAACAATAAAACTGAAAAAAATAATGTATTTTAAAATGATCATTGATTATGTTATCTCTATAATTTTCTTCAGACTTTAAAATTATGTATTTAGAAATCAGGCGAAACGTGTGGCCGTTATTTGAAATGGCCAAAAAATTAAATTTGGCCAAATTTTGAAATTGGTGCCATCAAATTGCTATTGAAATTCATTGCAATTTACATAATATTTTCTAGTGCCAATATGGCTGATGATGAAGAATCATGAAATGGCCGATTCCTGGAACATCGGCCGTCAGGCCAAAGCAGCGCACAAACCAGGCTAGTCTGTTCAGCTAAAAATGAAGTTTCGTTTGAACCGGGTATATGCGGGGACAGACGGACGAACATGCTGGCAACGGTTCAATACCGCCGGACCCTGTACGAGGCTCGGCGGCTCGGCGGCTCGGCTCAAAACCCAACTCAACGGCGCACATCTGCCGCCATTTGCCGCCGCTTTCTGGACTACAGAGTTATACTAGTTCGTATGTATTTGTACGTACTGAACATAATGTAAAGCTACCCATCCACTAGGCAACCAGGCAACCGAGCAATTTATGACCAAATGACCAATAAATGTCAAGTTGTATAAATTTTCGGTGTCTCGGGCGATCGAACAAAATTTCATTCATATTTCTTGAACATTAGAGATAAAAGTATGTATATTTCGAACGTGAAATGAGATAAAATCGACTTCTGCTGCAAATTTTAGTTCGTTTTCATTTTGTTTAAACATTTATTTTTTATATAAAATTCATATTAAACTTATTCATATTAAATTAATGTTGTACATTTGCAATAGATGAATTTGGAATGAATTTTGTCGCAAATATATAGCTCAAAATATTGTTCAAACGTAGACCAATAGCCTTTATAACCAATTATTCACGATTTACTGAATATTAATAGTTAATATTAGAACCTAATTTTAACCTGAAACATGGCCTTTATCTTGGAATATACGTCTACATTTACAATAATGCAGATACGAGAAAGGGTCGTGCAATGTGAATTTCATAAGTGAAATTAAATTCCAATCCAATGACTCATATTTTTTGAGGTGCAATAAAAACGGACAATTTTTAAAACAAATTCAATATTATATTTATTTTTGAAGGAAAAAACACAATTTAAAAACCAATTTTTGATTCACATGAATAAAATGTGGAAAACTTTATGTATGTATTTTCCCTGTATAATCAATTTTTTGTAGTATATATAAAAGTTTTTTAATAGATAATGATACATTGCATTACCGTTCTTACTATATTCATTTCTAAGATTTTATTTATAATATATTATAAATATATATTATAATAAATTGAGTAAAAAACATTTTTTATTATGTTTTATTTTTCAATTCTTGACTGTATAATAAATTGAATAAAAGCAAGGATGTTATCTGAAACGCATGGATTTCTAATAATTTTCAAATATAAATAAATATTAAATATTATGCACAAATAAATATAGAATTTCACCTACATATTTTTACCTACGTGATTTTGAAAATATATTTTTGTATTTTATGAAAAAAGGTTTAGTTTCGACTCATAAAATTGGCAAAATATACAGGTAAAATCTGGTTGCTCCGATGTCCGCCAGAACTGCGAACATCATTTTAGTCGCTTGAACTATTAATTTTCATCATTTTACTACGGATCTTCATAAAAATCTTTAAGCCGGGCGCTAATGATTCTTTTGTACTGTTAATTTTTTTTATAATGCTTGTTGAAACATATAATAGGCGATGTCTTGCGAATTCGAAAATATTGCTCATGGCATCATGTTTCATCTCTATTTTGTATCTGCCTCTTGCTCATTCCATAATAAACTTGCTAGTGGATGGGTACCTTAAGACTCGGCTTTTTATCTGAACATTGAAAAATAAAGGCAAAGCCAGCGTACGAATGCTGACGCGTCACCGGGTTTAACAAATTCGTTAGTTTGGTATTGTTGAGCCGGAATATGTATGTTTGCCTACTCGAATGAGAAAATGTTCAGCTTGCAATGTATTTCTTATATTCTTAATACAACGTAGGTTCAACCAAACCTCGTTTTTAACAATTGTAGCACGTCACCTTGAACGGCCATTTTAGCGATTGGTATAAAGCAACATAAGTCAACTGTTGTATATGCTCTCTATACGGACAAGTTGTAAATATTACAGTTAAATGCTACATTCTCGTTCGTTACCTTATTTAGTAGAGCGAATATATATGTCTAATGCATGAAATTTTTAATATATATTTGGCCTTTATCATTTGCTAGTCCATGTAATAATGTGCTGATTTAAATTTAAGTTTAGGAAATTGCTTGAATTGATTTGTAGATGTACAATTTATTACTAGAATATTTTTTAATGTAAGTATTGTAATAAAAACAGCTATTTATTTGCTGTTTATTAATTGATCTGCTAATAAAAATTGGATTGCATTCAAAACTAGTGGAGTGTATGGCATTGTGCCTTAAGGCAAATTGCTGGAACTTCCCGTACCGTAACGAAATGTTCGAGGAATACTGAATAATGAATGTTTTTTAGATCATTCAAATCGAATACTCCGTTCTCTCAAAAACTCGATTTCTATTTTCTGCGCTCTTTGCTCCGTATCTCCGAAACGGCTGGACCTGCCTCTGCCAAAAACTAATCAGCACTTCTCCCTATCAATAGGAATCGAATGTTTTTTGAACCATTCAAATCGGTTGATCCGTGCGCCCGAAAACGTGACTGGAAATTTGTATCCATACACACACATACACATCCATTTTTTCTGAGGTATGCCAAAATGATCAGAAACCTTCAAAACGTCGAGAAATGTAAAAATTTTCAATTTCGATTTTCGGCCCATTACAGTAACTTACCGTACGGGAAGTTAATAAAAACTATAATTAATTTCACTCAATCAAAATAAAGACATGATGTTTAGAATTTGATAATGAGGTAAGTATCACAAGAAGGTTAAGCCGAAAGATTTTATATTTCCTGCAAATGTAGCATTTTATCCTGTAACGAATCTAATATAAGCATGAAGATTTCTGAATTATTCTCTATAATATATGTATGTCTAAAAAAAAAAAAAAATTACATAAAAACTAGTGGTGCATGGCATCGTGCCTTAAGGCA